GTTACCATATTTTTAAATGTTCACGTATAAATATTATTTCAAGGAATTTAATATTGACATGAACTAAAAAACATTTAGCAAATGCAAACAATTTAATAATTTAGTTATTATTTATAAAGATTTTGTCTACTGTGTGAGTCGGCGTCGGTATCAGTGCTATCACAGATTGGATTAGGTACTAACTACGATTATAGAATATACTTTTAACCATGGTACTAACCAAGATGGATATATATAAATCTAAATCTACCTTGGTATTATCTATGATAATAGAACAATAGTCCTATCCACAGATATAGATAAGTTATCTTATCTATATCTGTGGTCCTATCATATAATTATATTCTGTGGTCCTATACCTATAGTACAGTTTTCTCACATTGATAAAAGTCAAATATTGTTTTAACATACAAAACTAAAACTGGAAATTATTTTGAATTTCAAAAATTTATTTTCATTTTATTTCCCGCATAATAAGTAATAAATTACTTAACAACATTATAATTATTTTATCAAAATTTTGTTTATATAGCACCCACGATGTGGATAATTTTGTGGGGGGTCTCCACCACAGTGCTCTCTCACCGAGGTGACGCAGTTGTTGATTATGTTCCGGCACCGTGCCTTCAACACGTCTTTCTCAAATACACAGTTACGTCACGTCATCACGTTTCGCGCGAGAATTAATCGTATTTCACGTCTACGCGTGAGCATTTTGTTATACTGCACATACGCCATAAACGGAAATTTGGTTGAATTTTTGGGGGGGGGGCTTTTATAATCCAATATAAAGTACCCACGGGGGCTTGGCCCCCGCACCCTCTTTCTATATACAACTACAACATATAACTAATAAAATATTTAAATATGCAGTACAAGTAATAAAAAAAAACACGAAATGACATATATTTAAAAATAATTATTAATAATTTATTTTATTTTAATAACAAATATCTGTTTTTAACAACAAAGGTATTTAAAATATCATCATTATTAATATTTTTGGACATATCTTTTTTTAATATATAATATAGAAATATCGCTGAACCTATCCTGAAGCATTGATGTCCTTAGCCAAGTTTTTATTTTTTTAATTGCACTGAAACTTATTTCGCAAGTAGCCGAACTGATTGGTATTGTTAATGTTATTTTAAATAGTTTTTGTGAATTAGGGAATACTGTTTGCTTTTCTGACATAATTTTTATAACATTAATTATGTTAATATTTATATCAGAACCAATATTTTGAACTACAACATTTTTTGTCATTGTTATCTCTGAATTAAAATATTCTTTGGACACTCCATTAGGGACTAAATATAAATATAAAATAATATATTAATAATGTCATTTATAAATCATTATTGTAGCATAATTTTAGGTATTTATATGATAATGGTTAATAAAATGAAGACTATCATTAAAATTCAGATTGAAAAACTGAAATTTTATTTTTTTATTTTTCACATTAAAAATATTAAAAAAATTTGAAATGTTTAAAATTCAAAACACTTAATGTCTCAGACGAACAAAAAACTTGGCAATTTAATATCTTCAGCTTTTATAAGTTGTATTTAACACTATGACTGACATAGCACGATGACTGCGCGACATATGAGAGACCGTTCCTATAGAAATAACGTCAATTGGTCGTGAAACGTGAATATTGGTTTAAAAACGTTATGTAGGTACAAAAGGATAATAATCATTATTATAATAAATATATATATATATGTACATAAGTACTCGTTTTGCGATGAAAAGTTAAATAACAGCATGTAAAAATATACGAGTATTATTACACAAATGCGATTATATTCTAGTACGATAATGTTATCGGATGTCATTTATCTGGAATCCAAATATGTTTAATGTTCGCGCGGAAAAATAAACATCGGGGGAATATAATTTCCAGAAACACTGATTGCATATACAACAGTTATATTTATCCCTCTTTCCCGACTTACTGCTTTTTTTAATTGTTTTACACCTTTTGGACCAACAATTCTGGATGGTGTGGGTCAGTGGCGCCAAACACGATATAAAGGTTTGATAGCAGTAACACCTTATTAAGGAGTGGGTCGTGGGTGGTTAGGTGGTACCATACTACCGTTAGGTAACACCTATGCAATACAAAAATAGTAATACTTAATAGTATATTAACATTGTATATAGTAAAATTGTGTAGCACTATGGGTAGTACTTAACGCGGACAAGTGCGGCAGCCTTTTCCAAAACGTTAGTCGTCGACCGTGCCTTTACTCTCTCATCAACCGCCAAACCGCAGCACGCAACATCGTTACGTCACCTCGTCCCCCCCTCAATCACCGGATAGGGGACGCGAGCGATTGCGACGATGTCCGCTAGGTAGCACCATTTGAACCGTGCTGCGTTGCTATTTTTCCGACACCGTAAACACCACGTCAATTTTTGATTTATGTAAACTATGGCTATAGATAATATATAATATATAGCCGTGATGTAAACACTTGTTTTTTCTCATTTTTTTATTCATCTGTTAATTATTAACAATCAATATACACTGTGATCGATATATATATTCCGTATTATTATTATCATCATTATTATTAGTGTTTTAATATTTCTACCACTTGTGCGTCACCCTCACTCGTGATACGTGTGCGCGCTTCAATATAATATATCTTGTATACATAACATTTGTATTTTAATATTAATACCAGACTTGGGTAAAATACTTTTTAAAAATATATAGAATAAATACTCGAATACTTACAAAAAATAGTATTCCGGATATGTATTTAAATACTTTATACAAATTGTATTCCGAATACATTATTTAGAATATTTCAAAAGTATTCCGAATCTTTTAAAATACTTTTAGTTTTTATACTATAAAAAAATTAGATGTCCACTCAACAGAAATATTTAAAATTGAAGACTAAATATATGTTATTTTATTGTATTTTTATTATACATAACTATTATAGTTTGTGGTTTACAATAATAATAAATACCTGATATTAGCTTTTACAAGATACAACGGAGAAGTAATAAAATCATTTAAAAAAGGGATGATTTGACGGTATTCGAAATATAGTAATCAGAATACTCGTTACAAGTATTCAAAATACTTTATTGAATATTTTCAAAAAAAGTATTTAAAAAGTATTCGAAATACTTAAAAAGTATTCTGAATACAGTATTCCGAATATTGTATTCGAAACACTTCCCAAGTCTGAATAATACAATAAGTGGATAAGCTATAAGTCAACATAAATAAACGGCCATGCAAGATTTTTATCATACGTTATTTTTATCATATGTTAAATTTTATCAAAATATTATTTTATTTTACTCCTATTACTACTACTAAAAAATGTAATAATATTTATAATACTTAATTTATTTGTTAGCGTTGAGTTGAATCTACTATTCTAATTCTAGACCTAAATATTTGTGTTTCAAATTGCTGCATATGCTTCAAGAATTAAAACTTTGTTTCTTAGAAGTCATGTAACGTATTAATTTGATTCAGTAATAATATTCACTGTATCTTTTGTGAAAGTTAAATTATAAAATGTTTTAGTAAATACGTACCTAAATAATATTTAATCATAAATTGAATAAACAACTAATTTGTTCGTACCCTAATTTGAAATTAATAAATAAATTTATATGTAGCCTATTAATTAAATAAGTAAAATATAACACAACTGCAATTTAAAATTAATTTAAATTCAACAATTATGACCAATTTGAGCTGCAAAGTTGGGAGATTGCAATTTTTAACTTGTCAGGCCTATACTACAGCTTTGATTGACGTCTTTCTGAATTATTAGGGTGCTAGCAATTTTTTTTTTTTTAGGGGAGAGGGGTCTATAACACTCTTCTAAATGTACCCATTGGTAAGTCGGTATCATAATGAAATGTTGTCACATCTTTATTTTGGCGATCCGGCGCCACGTGTGGGTACAGTTGAGATGCCCGTTTCGTCAACATTGTATATGCGATCTGATTTAAATTTATGTAATAAAAGAACTTTATTCATGTTAGTAAAAAAAACTTTTCTATCGAGTCTCTATTAAATCCTAATATTCGGTCCAGGCTAAGTTAGGTTAGTAGGTATTCTTTAATGGTTACAACAAGACGGCACAATTTGTTACAGATCAAGAGAAACAATCCCTCGGCTGCGTGAGAAGTTCCCGGACAGACTAATATCGTTGCGTGGCCAAAGCTACCCACCTCGATCTTGCGACTTGACACCGTATGATTGTTTCTTATAGAGATACACTAAGTCACGAGTTTACCAGAACAAAGTTCGAAAAGTCTTGGAACTTAAGCAAGAAATTCGTCGTGTCCTCAACGAACTTGATGGGGCAATGTGTTATCCAGTGATGATATATTTTACGGAAAGAATAATCGTTTGTAGAACTAGTAGGGAGGGTCATATACCCGATACTGTTTTTCACTGTTAAACCTTAACTTTTTCCAGAAGATAATAATATATTTTTTATGATTTTTTAAAAGAAATTAATTTAATTTATATCAGATTTAAATCCAGCGTTCTGTTTTGAGATACTCACATGTATGTTCTTGTTTAAATATCATAAAGTATTAAGTATGGAGATTGTACTTTTGGTTAAAAATGTACTATTTACGACTTGATTTAAATTCTAATGTAATATATTATTCATATTTAAATTAAGAATATTCTTTGAGAAAAAAATTATCTTCTGTAATGGTAGAATGCAAGGTATACTGTATGTTAATATATATGTATACTGTATTTATCTATTATATATTTATTTAATCTATAAAATTGTTAGGTCGATGTTTTTGTTAAATCTGAACTTTGTCCTTTTAAGCACTTAGAATATGAACAACAAATTGTTCATGAATCAGTATTATGAATGATATTGTAACATTTACATGCAGCTAATAATAATCTATATGAACTGGCACATTAAAAAAAAATATTAATTAACGTATCTATATATTTACGCTTATCTAAAATATTGTTTTTCATTATCAGGAAAAGTTTTGTATAATATTATAGCAATTAAATACAACATGTTCACAACTTAACGAAAGTGACTAGGGAACTTGAAAACGTGTCTATATTTCATTAAAAGATGGATATTATATCAATAATAAAAAAAAAATGTCAAAAGGAAGAGTTAACCAAAGATGAGATGACATTTTTCATAAAATGTATTGTAAATGGAAGTATAGATCAATGTCAGATTGGTAAGTCGCTCGTTTTAATTATTTAAACTTTTAATTTGATTGTAGTATTGATTTAAATATATTACATTTTATAGGAGCTATGTTAATGACTTTATATTTAAATGATATGACTAATATTGAGGTTAGTAATATGACCATGGCCATGGCAAATTCGGGTAAGATATTAGATTTTAAGTCATCGTCATTTGTCGTAGACAAACATAGCACTGGTGGTGTTGGTGATAAGGTGTCTATACCACTTGTACCTGCTCTAAGAGCCACGGAAGAAGATTTTGTCATACCAATGGTATCAGGCAGGGGACTTGGATTTACTGGAGGCACATTAGACAAACTTGAGAGTATTCCTGGTTAGCGAAATTAAATTATAATTATAATTCAAATCTAACAATTTTTTATTATTAGAATAATTAAATTATATTAGGTTTTTCTGCGTTCAGTTTTGATTATAAACAACTATTCAATATTGGAAACGAATTTGGGTGTTTTATCGTCGGATCAGATGATTTATCACCGGCAGATTCGATTCTTTACCGGGCCCGAGATGTTACTGCTACGGTGGATAACTCTGGATTGATAATTGGTAATTTTTTTTAATGATACTCAATTTTTTAAATTTAATTTTTACATTACACATAATATAGCGTCAATAATATCTAAGAAAGCTGCTGCTGGCATTAAATATCTAGTACTTGATATAAAAATTGGATCAGCAAGTTTTTTTCATTCTGTTGATGAAGCTAAGACATTTGGAAAACAATTTGTAAGTTCCATTTGTAAAGTTAAAAAAAAACATAAAAATAAATAAGATTGAAGCATAAAAACAGACGGGACAAGGACAAATAATGTTTAATTGTTAACTGCAGTATATTTATATCAATAAACTAAAGATTTAATCAATTCTTAAGATAACATTTTATTTTATTCAATTTTTAAAATACATATTCTCTATACGCACACAAATTAATCAACAAATTTATACGGAGAATATAATATACTAATATTTTTATACTATAAAAATCAACCATAGTAAAATCTTGTATTAATAGAATATTTGTGTTTTTTATTTCGATTTATAATTTATCTCTAGCTAACTTTCAGTTTTATTTATCTAAGATGAATAATGTTAAGTAACTATTAAAATCAGTTTAAACTTTGTATTGTTATAACCTATATTCTACATCCTGCGTTACACAGCGGTTCAGTGGAAAATTGTGGTGTTGTACAATCAATGTGAATGGTATTTCGAATTTAAAATTTTATAAATATTTAAATACCATTTTTGTATTATCCGTTTACAAGAAATAATTGTTACTCTGAGTTGCATAATATCTAAAAATTATATAGCTTATAGTATATTGGCATATTTTGTTGTGCAGGTTCTTGTAGCAAAGTTGATGGGTATTGAATGTAGAGCATTAATGACTAGAATGTCAGCTCCAATTGGTAATTATGTTGGTAATTCGCTGGAAATATTGGAATCCGTAAACTGTTTAAAAGGAGAAGGTCCGAGAGATTTACAGAATCTTGTTGAATTAATTGGTATTTTTAATTTAATTTATTCACATAATAGTAACTTTATAAAATTACTTAATTAAATAGGTGGACATTTGCTGCACATGACGCATAAAGTAAACACTGTGGAAGAAGGTCGTAAGCGTATAGCAGAGTCATTAAATAATGGTACAGCTTTAGAAAAGTTCAAACAAATGTTAATCAAACAGAATATTGATGAAATGATTGCAGATGGAATATGTTATGGTCGTACAATTGCAATTTTACCAATGGCCAAGCACGAAACTAAAATTAAGTCTCAATCTTCAGGTATACTAAAATCCTTGATTTTGATACTAATACCTTATGATGGGCATTACCTAAATAGCCTATTTTATTTTATTTTGAATAATCGATTTCATACAGACAACTTAAGTAATTTTTTTACGCGAATATACTAAAAGTACTACATAAAATGTTTGCCATCCCTGTTGTACATAAATTTCTACATTTTTCTACACTTCTCATAAAAATTTAGGTTGTTTAAAGCTTTTAATATACACCTATAACATAATAAAAGTATGTGACATTGTAACTTACAAATTATAAAATTAAAATATAGGATTACTAGTATCGGTTTAGCTCATGGTTGAACCTCCGGCAAAAAATTTATAATGGGCCTTTAAACAACATAATATCGGAGTGAGATTCAATAAAATTAACTACTAACATTTTTTTTTCTCGCTACGCTAAAATTCTAATACAAATTTGAATTTATTCTTGTTTTTATATTTTCCTAATATTATCGAATTCTTATTGTGTTCGTGTATGTGATCGTTAACAACACTCATCTCAATTTTTCGAAGTATTTATACGATTTATGATTTATCGATTTTGATCAAGAGAAAAAAATTTATAAATTATAATAGTTATACCTAGTTCTATTAAATAATGTCAACAATATTTCAAGATTAGAATAAGAATAACGTAATTTTAATTTAATTCAGGAAAATAATTACTATGATTTTTCATGTTGGTCTGGTTGCTTTGAGTCTAGAGGTGAATTTAGGAAAGGATCAAGAGGTCAGTTGACTCACAATTAATATAAAATTAAAATTAAATTAAGACGAAATTGGCCACTTGAAGACTTATATATTAGAATATTAGACTATATTTTTTAAATGTGCCGATTATAAATTGAAGTTAAAACTAAACTGGCAAATGTCCCAGTTCCCTCCCCCACACTATATGATTCCACTGGTTTAATTGTACAGTAAAATAAAATATCTTTATGTCAGACTCCATATGAGATTCTATAAAATAAAATAAATTTTTACAATGATAACTATGAATAAAATTAAAAAACAAATATTTTATGATAATTTTGTTTTTTTTGCTTTAAAGAATACATTTATAATCCATTTTCAGCTCTAATTAGCGGTCTCTTGAAATAGCCTGACCCACAATTCTCTAACTGTGGATCTGCTCCTGGTGGGCCCTTATTTTAAGAATAAATCTCAGGGCCCCAGGCAACTACCGGGTATCCGGGTGGGCTAGACCGACACTGAGGATCAAATTACTATATAAATTCAGTGCTTGACTAGGTAAAATTAAAGAAGGGAGACTCTGTTTGCTATAAAATAAAATAGCGTCCCGAAAACTTGTTAAGCGTTTTAATTATAACGTAATAATAGTAGGGAGACAGTAAAATTTCTGAAAATTATTTGGGGTACTCCATCCCCTTGCGTCTCTTCAAAAGTAAAGCACTGCATAAATATTAATAAAATTATGTACGGAGTTCTGGAAAAAATATATTTATTGTTTGGAAACAAATAAATGTAAACGTTAAATTGTAATACGACAATTATAATTAAAAGTTAATATAATAGAGTAAAAATTACCGAGATAAACGATTGTTGAGAATAATCCAGATATCTTGATTGTTAAAATAATAGTCGATTATGGAATTAAGTGATTTTTCACTGTAATTAAAATTACTTTATTTATTAACGCGCATTACGGTAAAGAATATACATAATGTTATTATGTTAAGACAGAAATAATAACAGTAATTATAAAATATTAAGAATAGTAATTATAAAATATTAAAATTAAACAAAGACAATTTTGAATGGAAAGGTACATTATTACTTGTTATTTAGAATATTTTAATTAACAGATTAACTCCTAAAAATCTGGATTATTTAATATTTTTAAATAAGTAATAATTTAAATTTGTTTTAATAATTAGAATTGTTAAATGAATTAGTAATTATTATTAAATATATATATACAATAATTTTAATATTAATTCTTACTATGTATAAGAATTTTCCAAGTTTAAGTTAGAATAAAAAAATATAAAAATAAAAAATTATGAATCTTGGACAATTTTATTTTAATTGACTATAAAGTTAATAAATATCCCACGATATGAATAGGGCTGTCAACGATTTATCGATAAATTAAGTATAGTTATATATTTGTCCGATATACCAATACATTTTTATCGATAAATTTCTTCCATAAATATTCACTATTGATACAATTATTCGATGTGACGATAATATCATGGGCTTATTGGTTTACTTTTTTTTAATTTTTAAAAATATATGAATAAATAATAAATATTGACAAAAATATGTTTAACTATATATTTAAACATAAAGTAAAATATACCTAATACAAGACCGGATTAAGCACCTATTGGGCCCCGGGGCTGAAATTTTATATGGGTCGTTTTAACAAAACATGCTTTACAAAGCTGCTCACTACGCTTGCAGAATGATAAATTTTTTTAACTTTTTCACAAATTGTTAATTGCATTATAAAATTTAATAGGTATATAAAATGTATGTCTATATTTTATAATTATAATAAATACTTTATTCACAAATAATATTTGATAACATTAATTTAAATTATAACATCATGTAGTATTCTATAATAAATTTTATTATTTTAGGTTACGTGAAAAAAATTAATGGTATGATCATTGCTGAAATTTGTAACAAGTTGGGAGCTGGAAGGCAATTTAGTAATCAACAGATTGATCCGGCAGTTGGTGTTCAATTGCTTGTTAAGATAGGAGACTATATTAAAAATGATACTCAATGTATAATCTTATATCATAATGAAATTGATTTGGATAAATCATTTTTAATTTCATTACAAAATTCCATAGAATTAACGGACAAAGTTGTACAACCAGAAAACATTTTACTTGGAATCATAGATTGCAATAGTTGAGATTTGAAGCAAATAATGGTTAAAGATTTAAAGACTATTACAGAATATGATAAACAATTTTAGACAAACAATTAAATACAACGTGTATGTTTAATATGGACAATATATACTATTTATTTTTTCACAAAGATGTACAGATTTAATGTATTTAAACACATACGCATACACACACACACATATTTATAACAGAAGTTATAATTTAAAAAAAAAACATTATATTGCATTGTTTATCCAACGAAAAGGATTATATAAATTATAATATATTGTATTTAATATAATATCACATTTTCTTCTGAAACTTGTTAAATATAGTAAACAATTACATATAAAGCCTATACATACTTTTAATCAAATTATTTACCTAATATATTGTTATTGAGTATCTTACTACATTATAATATCTAATAAATCTTATTACATAATAATATATCTTATTGATCCCCGTTATTTTCGTTTCGACTATTTTATAGTATATTTTAAATTTAAATTGTCTATGCAATCTAGAACGAAATAAAATTACGTAGTTAAATTCTGAATAATGATGTCCATATTTACTTGTAATAATGCACACTGTAGTCAATGATTATCTCGATCGAGAGGACTCCTCAAAAAATGAGCTGTTAATTAAATGTTAATTTAGTAGGAAACATTTAATACCAAAATAGTGCCTATATTATATTCACAAATTTTTAAATAATTTCAGACAACTGAAGTAAGTAGAAATACGTTCCTAAAAAAAACATCTATATATTATCTAATTACCCTTGAACAGTTAGTTATATAAAGTATTTCACCATAATTTGACAAATTAAATAATTTTAGTTATATTAAATAATTTTAATTTTTGTTATCGAATAATATTTTTCTACAATAATAATTATTAAAATTGTATTTTTGGATTTACATTAATTTACAATTTAAAATTAAATTCTATTACCTTATACAAAAATTAAAATAACAATATTGTAAACCTGATTTTTCGAAAAATGTTGGTGGTAAAAAGTGTTATAAAAGTTGAATTATTTTACCATTTATTTACTAAAAAAATTTAGATTTTTAGAAAATGTTCATAATTTCTTTAAATTGGCCATTATTAATAATAAACCTTCTAACTATTAATGATTACATACAAGTTTGTTCAAAATTTTATAATTATCGCAGAAAATCTACGCCAACTGAGTTTATAAACTTTTACAATATTCAAAAAATCAAATGTACAAAATAGTTTTTTGTATTCTTCTTAAAACGATAGAATAAAATTTTTAAATTTTAATTCCAAATAAGTAGGCTACTATAAAGGTTGCGATATCAAGATATTTATTAAAAATAAAAATAAAAATATTGAGTAGAACAAAAATTATTTCAAATGTCAAATCATACTGAAATATCTTTTGTAGTAACTCTAAGTTTAATCAAAAACTTAAATAGATTAATAGTAAAAGTTGTTAATAAAATTTAACTATTGGTGTTAAGTATAACAATAATTCAAGATCTGAGCATTCGCGTTTTAATTGGTCCTAGTACCCTATTACAATAATTACTAATGGAAGTCATAGAATGTAATTTAACGATAAAATTATGTATCATCCGCTAAGATAGCTTAGTTTAATTGCATCAAATTAGAATAAAAACAATCCTAGTATCTAAATCATATTAAGATACATAAATACCACTACATATTAATTTAAAAATTATTTTGAAATCACTTAAAAAATTGTCTCGTAGTATCATGGATTATTTTAATTATTGGTGAGCATCAGAATATATTGAATATATGGTAGTTTATTATATCTAGATCTAACGTTCAAAGACATTTTTAAGTAGAAAACTATAAATTTTAATAAAATACCGCTCAAACTAAAAAAAAATCACGGTAATTTTTTTTGGTTTATTAAAAAATTAGCAATTAGATATGAGTAAGTAGCTGTTCTCTAGTAGGTAATTTTGGCAATCCCAAAAAATTTTCTTTAGCATAGACGGCACTCTTACAAATATGAAGGTTAGGACGGTAATCTTGAGCAGGCTGTGCTATAATTATATTGGTCGCTTCTTGTAGTCTTCTTGTAGACTGAAGTGGTTTAATTTCTTCATTTTGATGCCTTGACTAAAATAAACGATCAACGTTGTTTTTTTTGTAAGCAATTAACAAACATTTTTTTCTATATCATATACTCGTATAAATATACATCCTCCTAGTGAAATCGCTCATTTCATAAAGTGAATGTCCACTTCATGAATCGTATCCATTTAGTGAAATTTACTTTTTTCTATACTATATGGAAAATTGTTTGGCTTTATCGTGAAGTGGATAATAGTAATTTCATCAAAATTGTGAAGTATTTAATTTTTAAAATTAACCAGCTACAACTCATTCGCGCAGAGTTACCTTTTTTACCACTTATTTGCACACAAAAACATTTTTCGAATTTTTCTATACATTTAATTATTAACTTAGTAATTAATTATAGATATATCAGATTAAACAATAAGAATATTACCTTACATTTTTCAAAAATCAGAATTCAAAAATTTAGAAATAGATACATTTTTTATATTACCTAATATTTTTGTCACTTTCTATGAGTTTATATAGCAAAAACTTTTGGTCCGCAATTTTAACACTGCATATGTGATAAGTAAATACCAAATAAAAATTACCCTCAATAATTACTCTCAACGAGTTTTCATAAAAATGTAGAAAAAAAAACATTCAAATTTATTATATATATTTTTTTTTTATAGTTAAAATGTTTTTAATTAGTTAAATTCTAAGTTTTAGAAGCTTCAATATCCGTAATATCCGTATTTGTTCTTCTTTACCCAACGGTTTTTTCTTCGGCTTTGTTATGTAATGTTCTAGTAACTTTTCATAAAAAAAAATAATTTTTCCATGTCAAATAAAATTATTTATTATTCAGTTACTAAAGTACAACTGATATATGACAATATATTTTTAACAAACATAGGCTACTTACTATATGTAAGTACAATAGTTTTTAATTATTTGATAAATTTGTATTAAATTATTAGCTGATAGACTGAAATATCAGTTCATACAATTCATAAATTGCAAACGATTTACTTCAAACAACTTTTATTTTAATTTTATATTTCTACCACATTATTGTCAATTACATAGATAATTTCATAAAAATCTAATGCTTATCATAAATAAATAATAAATAATAAAATTTAAAAGAAACTAAATTATTTAAGCAAAATAAAGAAGTAAAATTATCATTTATACGGTTTCAATTCATATAAAATCATAAAATGTACTTAAAAATCTAGTATTTCACAATGAGCATAATATTAATTTTATCATTTTCACGAAGAAATCATTCATAAAAAACTGTCCTTATAGTGTAAAAAAATGTCAGTTTCAATAAATGGATACATTTCATGAAGTGGATGTGCACTTCGAAAATAAGCGATTTCATGAAGTGTACGTGATGTATACACTCGTATATATATTTATGTATATATATATATTCGGGTTTTGTATTGTTATTTAATAAAACTACAAAAAAATATTAAATTTAAGTACAAAATAAATATATCAACAATGTAAGTAACATATTAATATGAAATAAAAAATAAATAAAATTATAGTACAAATATTACCTTTGACTTCAATGAATTTTTACATCTCAGTAAGTTAATTTTTTGTAAAACACGGCTTCTTTTATTTATATGTCTCCTTTTACGCAATTCTCGAAATAAAATCGAATACTCGCCTTTTAGTTGATTGATGTGTCTTATTTCGTCATCATTATAAACCCCACGTTCTGTAGCCATCTGGAGTTGTAATTGAATACCTTTCATTTTCCCTATAAGCTAAAAACGTTTTTAGTCTTTCACAGTAACAATAAAAAGTAATTTTTACTTGGAAATTTACCTCTTCGATATTTACAGACGATAAATCTTTAAAATGAGCTGATGCTATAATACTACTCTTTAAATCTTTCGGTACTCTTCTGTATCGTAATAATTCATACATCTGGTCAATTTGCTGTTTTATGTTGAGCAATAAAGTTTCACCAAATCCTTCGCCAATCGTACTATCTGCTGTAACACTAATAAATATATCATCAGTGTACGTAAATACTGAAACTGAAACACCGATAGTTTTTTGAGATGGCAGTACAGAATAAACTGTTTTCAATGGAGATCCTTTAATTATAATTCTCGACCTTGGGCCAGATATCCAACTAAACTGTAAACAGGCCTGAAAGTATAATTTACATGTTTGTAATTTATATACTATACATCATTTATTCTTTAATTTGTATATATTGTAAATGTTGTATTATATAGGTATTATATTTTATCTTTATACCAAATTGTCTGTTAGTTCAGATAACAGGGTTCTGGTGCCCGAGGAATGCAGTGACATTAATAATGAAACTATAGCTGGTAATAAAACTTGATCCGATTCACACATATTTTGTATTGCGCTTTTGGTACACCATAATCTTGGAATGGCGCCTTCGATATCTATTGGTAAACGAAGAAGGACAGGAGACGAGTGGTCGGTGTTCCCAGTTTGCACCGGATACACAATCTTTAATAATAAATAAACACGTTTCAAATCAAAGCATAAATTTGACTGGCAAGGTTTATATTACATTCATGTTATTCAATTGTTGTAATCCAATTAACTTCATCATTACGTGCAATGAGCCGGCAACAGCAGACAAGACCACGTAACTGTTTGGAGTTTTAGTAACTTCATTAATTCGGTTTACTTTTGATAGAGCCCCTTGAAAACATGACCAACTTATGTTATAATTTAAAGACAAAGGAAATGGCGTCACCAAATTATTTTCCTTGGCCGGGGTAATCATTTTCCATAACAATTCTGCAGGACCGGTCATCACGGTTCTCGCTACACTCGTCCAATATCGCATTTTGGTCGGGTTCTGAAATAAACAACGTTCGTTTAAATTATCTAACATTTCTGTGTAGATCACATTTTATTTTTACTTCTGTAGTATGGTAGTACGGTTTTGTATCTGACAAACAAGTACACAACAACTTAGCCAATGAAATCCAATCTGCTAAACACCTGTGAGCTAAGAATACAACTACTGCATCTCGTTTTCCAGGCATTAATTCATCATTTTGAGATAATAAATGTAATTCCCAAGGGGGTTTCTCTATTGATAAGCCTCCAGAAACTAATTGTCCAATATATTTCTATAAATTGAATATGTAGTAAAATAATCTATTAAACAAGGAGAATAATTTTAGCACAGAAAATAGGAATGTTTAACACATGTTTCTGTAAAGATGCATAAAAATCGTTTGTTGATATTAATATATCAAACTATAAATTATTCACACATTAAAAACCTATACCTCTGTATTATCTACATTGCTATCAGATATTGTAACTACTGTTTTTTTTTTTTTTTTACAGACGTGTTTTTCCATGTCATTACATCTAGTCAGTGGCATATCCATGGAGGGTTAAACCCCCCCCACACCATGAACCTGAGATAGTAAATTAACTAATTAATAGTTAATTAATAGTAAGTATCATTTATGTATACTCTTTGCCAATATGGGCGTTAATAAATAATAATAATATGAAATCGCTAAATATTAACAGGACAATTGAAGTTAATCTAAAAGAAATGTTGGATGAATTGGCAAAAGAAAAAGAAAAATTGATATACTATTGTAATTAAGTGATAATTATTTTAACCCTGGAAATTCGAATATAATATATATTATGTATTGTATTAATAATGTTTAATATGTTGTATTTTCTTCACAATATATTTTTACAAATAGTAAGTTTATATTTACTAAACTCTTCCCTCCCCATAAAAATGTCCTGAAAAGGCGCCTGCATTTAGTGCATGTTTAATTAAAAGTTAAAGAAATCACTTCAAAGAACAGTGTAATTGTTGTGTGCACTATTCACTTTGAAATTTTTAATTATATTAACTTGAGTAGTAGGTTAGGTTAGGCCTATTATTATTTTTCATAGTTTAATTTTAATTTCATAATTGATTTTCTAGTACTCATTTAAATGTAAAAAGACGTTATTGAATTATATTAGTGTAAAAAGCATAATTGTTTTCCCAAATGATATCTTAACTATAAGGTTATAGAAAAATTAAAATTCACGTTATTATCAAATATGATAATATCAATAATAATTGATGTACCATTAATATACATAGTATGCAGTAAAAAACTATATAGACACCAACAAACAGTGAACTCAGATTATTTAAATTTTAGCGGTACACTCGAAAGAAACTAATGAGTGATGACCATTTATAATTCCAAACGAAGATATTCAAAAATAATATTTAATCATATTAAACGATGTTATTGTAACATAACATTGACACATCCGAACTCCAAAGGGCAAATAGCAATACAATATAAATGAAAATATACGTAAAATACTGTTTAAAAGTAATGTTTTTTTTTTTTTTTAATAGTAATTCCAGAAAAAAGTAATTTCAAGTTTTATCAAATCCTTCATAGTTTATGCCATGATAAAATTAAATTTAAAATTCTCGGTAATCTTCTAAATAATCGCAAACTAATTGTTTGTGCAATTCAATTCTTACAAATATTCAAACAAATTTTAAAATCTTTAATGAATTAAACAAAAAAAACTTTCCAAAATAAATAAATTTATATATGTATTAACGTATATACCAATTTCATAGAACCGTTAAATTACATATTAATAATAATTTTTTTTCAGTGTCCTGATTTATTATATATAGTATTTCTCACATTTAAGTCAAAAATTGCAGGATAAATTCGCAAAAATGTACATATTACATAGATACTAGTACACTTTTTGTATTTAAATTAAATTTATTAATAATTATAATAATAATAATTACTTGGAGCTCGTGTTTCTCCATCGGGTCATCACATAATTTAAAAACATGTTGATTAATATCAAATGAATTGTGATCGGACATCCAACAATAAGAGTTTCCAAATAAGTTTGTCAACACCACTGGTTTTTCAGTTAACCGTGGACATTGTGGCAGTACTTTATTAATGATGAGCTGTTGTAAATATCGCAATTCAATTTCAGAGTCTAAGATAAAAATGGCAAACACGGTAGAATGTTGCCAAGAATCACCCAACCAACGGATTTCATTGTTAGTCATAACATTTCCTAAAACTAATAAAAAAATAAATACATTTTTCAATTATTTATTCGAACACAATAATTAATCTAATCATATGCGAATAACAAGTGAACTTATGCTAATTGTATGTATTTTAATTATATGTTTAGGAATGTAGTTTCATTAAATTCACAACTTCCAATTAAATTGAATTTTATATTTTTGCCATACCAATTACATATTAAATTAAACAAAAAAAAAAAATATTAATCATCATATTAATTAATAAAAATTAGACCTTTTTCAAAGAATAATAAAATTTATGTTGGTCAGTTATTTATTGTGAATTCGTTATTATATATTATATAATAATAACAATTATATTTTTATACTAACGAAGATATAAGAAAAGAGATAAAATTGTAAAATGTATGTTTCTTATTTTTAGATATACGTGTTGTCGAGAAACGTGAACTCTTATTATCATAAGAAATAGCTTAGCTATAATATTCCACGAACAATACCATTTATAACTAATTTTTAAACAAGATTTAAACGAAATAATGAATTGGCATTTTAACTTTTTGTTGTATATGTATTTGCTTATTATAATAATTAATTGAGTATATTTTAATATAGAATCACTGTACAAATACATGACATTTTTATGGTTTTCATTTAATAAAAGTTTTTTTTTAATGTAGCAATCTGTATAACACTGTCTATTGACAGAAAAATTATTAATACTTATTTATCAAAATAAAAAAAAAAAAATATTAATAAACCAATGTTGTAGTAGCGTTTATACCATGAATCTAAGTTGGCACCTATGAATAATTAAATATTTGAATTAAAGCAATGCCATTAATTTCTTATTGACAATCAGAATATTATAAATTAGCCTTACACTCCTTGCCTATTTAAATTTGAATTTGAAATACTTGTTATCGAAATTAAAATCAGCTCTATTAACTATTGGCCGAACACAAATAATATGAGATAACGCCATATGCTGAAACGTTGAAAATAAATAAAAACTTAGTCCTTCAAGTATTCATATTCTTCTGTAGTTATTAAATAATACATCATGTGCATGAACGATGAGTGAATTCTGGAAAGTGATTTCCCTGGAAGTTTCATGGTAATTCCATGTGGATAACGTTTTTAAATGCCAATACCATGATATAATAAATCTAATCATAATTCAATTTTACGTGTATTAACTTGTTTATATAAAACACTGTCGAAATTATTTTTTCTACTCTAAAATATTGATAAAACTATATCTTACGCTTATGCATTTATTTGAATGTTATATTCGAAAAAAATAGTAATAGGTTAAAATTAAAATGTCATTGACATTGGAATTTATTTTACTTACCTCCTAGACAAACAATTCGATGAGCCATAGATACTATCCATTTGAACACAAGGGTGATAGGTATGACAAGGAATAACAGGATAACTACTGGTAAGCTGATGGTGAAATTTATAGTTTTCATAAGAGTTGCACAAATCAGTCTCCATATTTTTGAATATCTTTTAAATGATATTCTTATAGGAATTTGTTTGTGTCTACTATTCTGTCGTAATTGATTATAGTACATGGATAGTAATAATTGTATTCCCTTAAACCAAAATAAAAACGAAAATTATTATAAAATCGATGTTAAATATATGTTTAATATTATTAATATAGATCCATCAAATGTAGACGGAATATACAAAGTATACGTTTAAATGATCAAATCAAACAATTCTGAAACGCGTTTATGCTTATGTTTACGTCTAGTTAAAACATTAGCTATAAAACAACATAATATACTAACGTAGTAGTTTCCAAAATGTGCAGAACACTCCCTTTGAGAAACGTGATCACTATTGAGCAGAGTACGAATAGACGAACGCATATATTAGCTCCTCCGTATATGTTTGTATAATGCATGTTCTGTTTCAATGTGGATGGGTTTTTTATATCGTAAGGTATAAAGCCAGTGATGTATACAATATATATATATTCGAGTCGATTATAAAATGTTGAGCTTATAAATATCGCATTAATTCGTGCATATATATATATATATATATATATATATATATATATATGCGTGTGTGTATACACGAGGTACGCCTATATTTCCGTGGTTATACTGTTTATACTAATAAAAGTATGTGCTCGTATGTTTCACAAACTTTTAATTATTGTATACTATTTTTGACGATAAAACTGATGTCTCCAAGTCATACAATATTATTTACCAAGTTGTAACATACTTCGTAGCCGAGTTCGCAGTGAATTAACTGATAAGTAATAATAATTTAACCGGGAATGATTTTCAAAAATTTGAAGATAATTTTTCTGATACAGTCATTTTTACAACCGCCATTATACAATAAATCTTTTTTAGGAAAAATTGATTGTAACACACTGTTTCTATAGCTAAACGCCAGTGGCGTGGCAAACTCAAAAATTTTCAGAGGCAAGTATATTTTGTCGATACCCATCTACCCCCCCCCCCCCAAAAAAAAAAAACTGAGAGGAAGCCTTCTCTCGATTACCCACACCGCTACATCACTGTTACACGCTATAGCATAGGCGCTTGTAACCCCTGGACTTAAAAAAAAAATAAAATTTAAAAATTTAGTATAGAAAATATTACTATCAGTATCGAATTTTCTAGCAGCCTGCATTACTTTGTAGCCGTTGAAAAAAACAAAAAGAATTTTGTGCCATCACACAATTTAAAAACATATTCCTACGTATTTAACTTAAATAATTTAAGCATTATTTAGAAATCAGTGTATATAATATGCATGATGCACCTCCCTAATGAAATTACTGGCGCGCCTGTACACTACAGTATAAAGTATAGTATAAACACTTAAGTATAGCTATAGTAGACAATCGATAGAAGGGGCGTTCTGCAAATGCAAACCACACCTACACCTATTACTATAAAATGCAATTCAATATTTAAAAAATAAATAAATTAAATACTATTGTAATAGTTTACATTAGCTTAAGTGATTTTCATATTTTTTTTCTTAAAGTAGCAATATTATTACTCCTAATAATAACTAATTATAAAAGACAACAAAAGCTGCGGTGTCATATGGGTGTAATCGAATTTGAAATCAGTATTCTAATAATTTGGTCCAGGATCTTACTTTTTGGCCTGTGACCTAATTGGTTTATTTATTTCAGTTTGGTATAAAGAAGCAATGAATTTTTTTTCAAAATATAAACTTATTTTTTTACTTGTATAATTTTAAAATAAGATCTGTGATTGAAAACATAAAATAAATGTACCTCAAGAAAATATTTTTTATATACATCATAAATATTGAGAATTTTTTCTCTTCTCCAATGTTTTATAAAAATTCGAACAGCTATTTGTTATAATTAAACTCGTCAAAAAAAAAAAAAAATAAATAAATAAATAAATCTCTTAGATCAGAAATGTAATTCTTATAGGTATAAGTAAAACTATGATAATTATTTGACTAAATAAATATAAAAGTTATTTAAAAAATTGCTTTAAATATTCTTGTTTGTTCAATATTTTTTTATTGATAACCTATTAATATTACTTAAAAATATACTTTGACACTATGCCAATAACCAATGATATACATAAGTAAATTTATTCGAATTCATTAGTATAAATTCATTAGTAATAATCTTTATCTACTATGAATTATATTCCGAACGTGGGAAACTAAGAATAGTATACTACTAAACAATTTGTATTTGTAAATATTGAATAGTAAATAATTATTGCTTATGAATCCATTTGACTATCATATAATAAATAAATACATATTAAAATGAGATTAAAATGTATTAAATCATTAAATTAAATGTTTTGGTACACACATAGGGTTGTAAAATTTCATGAAATATATAATTTGAGTGAAAAATAAAAATTTTGTTTCATTTCAGTAAAAATATGATGCTTTATGTTTTATTTTTTATGGAATACTTTTTGTATTATTAATTGTACTTAACAGAAATAAAAACTAATTTATATAAATTAACAATTAACACTATATTAGTTTATAGTTATTATAATTTATAAATATTGATTTAAGAGGTAAGAGATCAATAGTCATTGAAACACCTGAAGAAATTTTACAAAATATAGATGAATTTATAAATAAGTTGCCAGTAGTCCCATTACTCATCAGCTATCACATTATTTCAGAAGTTTCTCATCAAAAAATATATCGGTACCTAATGAGTTTAAAAGTTAAGCACATATTTATAAATTTTATTGTTAATATTGTGAAACACACAATATTATACCAGCATCTGGAAATGTTTTTACAGAAAGATGAAAATTACAATTCAATATTGGAGTACAATATTGAATTGTATTTATATACAAATAATAAATAAAATAAATATATATGTATGTATAAAAGTTAATAAATATAATGTAATTAAATAAATCTAATTTAATAAAAAATAAAAATTAGCTCCTTTGCATAGTTAAACAAATGACTTATCAGTATAAAATATAAAATCATAATAATTAGCTATTAGGTAGATATACATTTTTTAAATACTATACTATTGAAAATATAGAAATTAAAATTTAGATTGCTGAAGACACTTCAGAAAACTTGACTAGTAACATGTAAATAAATCACAGGCGATTAGAACTATTACTTATTAGACGAATCATAAAAATAGCTGCTATCAATAATAATGCGCCGGTTTTGTCATTACTACATAAATATATTAATACTAAACATATCTGTGGTCGTTACCTATTTATAGGCAGCTGATAAGACTATACCTCGTTAAATGGGAAAGCCAAGATTGTACTGAAACGATATCATACAATATCATACAATATCAACTGATTAAATTACATTTGACAGTCACTATCTCAAACGTAAAAAAAAAAATTTTCAATATTTCATAAAGCATGAAATTTTCAATTATGAAATATTTCAAATTTACAACCCTATACACACATAATAAACTATTGTAAGTTACTGAAAACATATTTAAAAATTAAACCTAAAATAATAATTATTAGAAAGTATAAAAAAAGTGTGAATAGGAAGAACATTTTTAATTAACGGAACAACAGAGGTGAATTGGTATAGGCAGGTTTATGTTGTATACCAGTCAGCAGATTTTCGATGTTCGCCGTATACCTAATGTAAAATATTATTTTACAAGTATACACTTCTAAAATTACTCAAAAACAAAAAAAAAAAAAAAAATGCAATAGTTGAAACAATTGTTATGAACTATTAAGTTTGAATTAAATATTTATCATTTGAAGATTACAGTGTACGCTATGTTTAATGTATTAAAGTTAAATTTACTAAATGATAATTTAAGAAATAGATGTTATTAAATAGAATGTGAAGCATAGACATTCATGCAATTTATAACGCGCGGCAATGTATATCTTATGCTGTTATATTTTATAGTCTTATTAGAAGTTATAAACATGTAAAGGATTAATTTAATTTATTCCAACATAGGGAAAAAAATTGTCATATGAAGTGAGAACATTTTTTTAGAATTCATTTTTTTTTATACTTATAATTATATTTACCAATACACCATTGCCGTGCAATGATGACAAAGTAATACAATAAATCTAATATATTAATGTAGGTATAAGACATTTCAACAAATCATGATTGTTTAAAAACAAATTTAAAAAGACTTATATTATAATATATCTTTAAATAATAGTATTACTTATTGATAATAGTTAAACATAATTTGACTTCATAGTTATTACTAAAATTATTTTCGTATAAAATACCGTAATATATATTTAATTAACTCTGAAAAGTCTTGAGAGTCCTAAAATTTTATAATATTATTGATTTTATTTTATTGATGGATTGATATTTGCAATCAATTCAATAAAAAAACTATAAAAGTATAAAGATATATATATATATATATATCAAGTGGTTTTATCATTCAATTTTTTATAACAATAATGTCACCTTTTAACAACCTTCGAATATGAAATGCTTTATTTATATTATTTTTAATTTCTTAATCTTAACTTGCTAAACATTAGTATTGATAACTCAATTTATGTATTTTTATTATTTATACATTTTTCCACGACTAACCGATTGTTTGCTTATTTGTGTTATAACCATGGGCCTATTAACTAGGTAGTGGGTCTATGGTTACTAGGGCTTCCATCAGTGGTGTAAAAAGCGGGTGGGCAAGGTGGGCAAACGCCAAGGGTCTCAGCACCTAAGGGGGCTCCAGCGCTCCCAGCCCAACTTACAATACCTACCCTATCGGTTATTTCTATAATAGTCATTCGATTAAAAATTTCACAAAATAGGTATATTATTTTGATATCTGAAAAAAATACTAAGAAATACGGACCTTGTATTAGTACCTACTATACTAATATACTATAAATATTATTTTATGTTATTGCATTTCTATATTGGCTAATGGCTAAAAATAAAAAGGGAAAAATTTATAATGATAATGCCGACAACAGCAATACTGTTATATCATAGCTTCAGCACTGTATAGTGTGCTTATAATGAAACTTTGTGTCTTGTTTTTTATGTTTAGGTATGTTATATGATTCGTATTTTTATTATTATTAAATTATTAAGT